ATGTGCACCATCATCATGTTCATATAATTACATGAAAAATTATCAAGTTAGTCAAGGAATAATAAATATCATTAGTCTCTATAGCGGATTAGTAATTCTTACTCGTTGTTTATCTGTGATACTCATTAAATTATGTTCATATAAATCAAATAGAATTACAGTAGAAAATACATAGTTGATTGAAGTAAGGATATTTCTTCAATCCGAGCAAATTTTCCTAGTATATATATGTTGTCTGTAATAAAGCTTTAAATGTTGTATAAATATTATCTAATAAATTCTAACTATTATCATTTTAGAAATTTGGAAAAAAAATTGTACGCTGAAGCATGTTATATGTATATTCAATTTAACTTGAATAAGAATGGATTCCGATGAATTTTTGTTGAGTTTTGTTTTTTCTCATTTCATGATCAATATCATATTACATGTTAAAAGATAACTTTTTAAATTGCCTTTTTCTAATCTATTGGAGCTATTTGCAAAAGGTCTTCTTCTTCTTTTTTGTTATAAATGAAATGTAATAGATACCGATTATATCGTGAGGAAAAACCCAGCTATACCAGCTTCAGAGTAAGAATGAAAAGATAAAGAAGGACTGAATATAAGAAAATGGTTACCATTTAATGTTTCATATGTTTTTCAAAAGAAAGACGACACACTAATACATAATCACAGGTATGGAGATTATTTCATAAGAGCTAGAGGGGAAGTTTTGAAATATTGAAGAAGATCTGGATCATATTTGAGAAGGCTCATATAAATTTTTGTTGCTCGATATTATTTGGATTATGACTGCCAATTATCCTTCAAAGAAGTTGATCATAAAATATTCTATAGACTATGAGCTCTTTACTAAATCCAGATTCCATTCATAGGTAGATAAATCAGTCAAAGTGCAATCAAGTTCTACTAGTCGAAGAAATAATAGTTTCCAATTAAAAATTTATTTATCTAAAACTTATTTTCTTTGTGCAAGAAATATTATGTTCTAAAGGACTTTCCAATCCTAAGTGCACTTACGGTTACAGTTAGTGATACTCTTAATTTTGAATGTGCAAAATGAAACATTTTAAAAGCGTATTCATATTTGTGACTTAGGTCGAACGAATTTCTTAGTCGAATGAATGTGATCTCTATGATGATAAATGAGTCTCATAGTTATAACTTCAGAATGTTTTCTTCTCTAAGTTTTTTTCATAAATTCAGACGAGAATAATCTCATTACATAATTTCTATAATATAATTACCGATTTTTAGACGAAATAATCTAACAATTTTTTCATCAACAGTGCATTTCTAATATTTCTTCGTAACTGATTTCATCTTTTCAGAATTACAATCAGCATCACCACAAAAAAAGTAACAACTACGGTATCATTACAACCAACACTTGAGAAGTTACCTAAACCTAATTGCCAAAATATGGAATATAAAAAACTTCTTATTGGCAAAAACGAAGAAGATATAGAGATGGCGGCAAAACGAGCAAGTGCATATAATGCATCACCAGAATGCAAAGTAAGTGGTGTTGTGTTTAGGAGTGCTGGCTTAGTATTAGCACTGTATTATTCTAATGCTAACTTAATACTGATGCTAAGCTAGCATCTCTAGTTCGGTATTATCTGAATTTTGGCCAGAGAAGTAGATTTCTTATGTGCATGTGTGTTCCAAAAAGTTACGAAATGGAATAGGGTGTGGATGTGGGTGTGTACTATAGGAGATGATACCCACACCCACCCTCGAGAATTCTAAATGAATAATTTTTTTATAATATTTAGAGTGAATCAGAGAGGAAAAACAATACTAAACAATCTACTCGTCCACAAACAGGATCGTAAGTATTTGAATAATTTACTCGAAATATATCTATGATTTTAGATCTCTATTTCATCGGAAAGCAATATTGCCTTTAATTATGATTGTCATTATAAGCCTAATAGTTATCATTAGTATTACAATATGGATTATTTTCATTAAAAAGACCGAAATAACAACTAATACAACTACAGCTACAACTGATGTATCGACAACAGAAACAAAAATTCTCACAACGTCGACAACAATGCTTATAACATGGTCAACAAAAACATCAGTTCATACAATATCAACAACAGACAATACAATGCTTACAACGTCGACTAATTCTCATACAACAACAAAGAATGGTAAAGTTTTGTTATAAAAGAAAGAATAAGAATTGACATATTTCTTGGGTTTAAAAAAAAGAAGCTTCATATGTAAATTCCAAATATATAGCTCATTCAGACACCCATATTTTACCTAATGGTGTTTGAAATTATATAGTCATCCTAAAAAAAATAAATAAATAAATGTAGAACAGATCTGTTACGGAATGAGAAGTGCTATATCCAAAATAGAATAATAGTTCTCAGCGCCCACAAGTAACACTCCCAAGCAGAGCAAAAGTACTCAGTACCTGAAAGTATCATTTCAATAACATAAGAATTATGTTCTTTTTTTGGGAATTTTGAGCTTATGGTATATTAGAAGAATCAACCACACCCTTACCCTCAAAATATTTTTCAAAAGAATTTATTTTCAAAATTCAACAAAATATATCAAATAAAATTTGATTTTTCATTAAATATTTTTATAAACATTTCATTCAAAGTTCAAATTTGTCAAAAACAAAATCGAAGTTTCATTCAAAATTAACCTTCTCCTTTTTTTCGATTAAAAACAATTTTCTTCGTCTTCTTCTTTGCATGAAAATCTTTTGTTTTCATCATTTTCTAGACCCAAAGTTCAACAGATGGAAACAAAATGCCAGCACTGTGGCTGGTGGAAATGGAGAAGGACAACAATTAAATCAACTCAATTGGCCTTCTGGAATCTTTATTGATAAAAACAAAACTATTTTCATTGCTGATCGTTGGAATAATCGTATTGTTAAATGGAAATACAATGCAACAACAGGACAAATCATCGCAGGTGAATACGGTAGAGGACAACGAATAAATCAACTGCATAGCCCAGCAGATGTTATTTTTGATCAACAAAATCATTCGATCATCATTGCTGATTTTGTGAACAGACGAGTGATTCGATGGTTTAATCAAAATCAACAAATTCTCATCCACAATATTGACTGTTATGGTTTAGCAATGGATAAAAATGGATTTCTTTATGTTTCTGATGATATAAAGAATGAAGTGAGACGATGGAAAATGGGAGAATACAACAACGAAGGAATTGTAGTGGCAGGTGGTAATGGAAAAGGAGATCAACTCAATCAACTCAGTACTCCTAGTTTTATCTTTGTTGATGAAGATCAATCTGTTTATGTATCAGATCAACACAATCATCGGGTTATGAAATGGAGAAGAGATGCAAAGGAAGGAAGAATTGTAGCTGGAGGAAATGCTCACGGAGAAAATCACAATCAATTATTTTATCCTCGAGGACTAACTGTTAATAATTTGGGTCAAATCTTTGTGGCAGATAGTGAAAATCATCGAGTAATGCGTTGGTATGAAGGAAAAGAAGAAGGTGAAATTGTTGTTGGTGGAAATGGTCAAGGAAATCAAACAAATCAATTGAATTATCCCCGTGGTTTATCTTTTGATGATGAAGGAAACCTTTATGTTGCTGATTCGGGAAATGATCGAATCCAAAAATTTGAAATTATATTGTGAATGAAATTTTGATTTTATGAAAAAGAAAACAGTTTCTTATTGAATAAAAGAACGGAAAAAAGTCTTTTGAGATTTTTTTCATGAAAACTTAATTCAATTTGATAGTTTTGATTAAAAAATTCCGACAAATAAACGTTAAATTCTCTTCATCTTTGATTGAATTTTACAGAAGAAAACAAAAGAAAATATTTTATAATTTTTTGAATTAA